CCCCAAAACCAAAAAAAAAAAGTAACAATCCAGAAGTCAGCCTTTGTGCTTAATGCTACAGTTAAAAAGTTTTGGCATATTCTTTTTGCTGGATACTCTCATAAAACCTTATTACGTCTAAAAAATACATACCTAAACGGATATTTACTTTCTTCTAGATGATTCAAGAATAAAAGGCGGAATAGGCGTGAGAGGACGTCAACTTTTTATGTTTTTCTCTTTATATGGAGAGAAAAAAAAGAAGAGATAATTGAAAAGACTGGCAGGAAAGGGTAGGAGGATGGAACATTAGTTTATGTGATGCATCTCTAAACTGTATGGAATGGGGTACCATCATCTCTTGTTTTCTCTTTCATAAGAATTAGCATCTGTGCTGGGTCTTCTTAGGGGGCGGGGAGAAAAAGAGAAAACGTTACCTTATATTTGGTTCTGACTGCATTTTCTTTATAAGAATAAGTTTAATAATAAGGAGGAATCTCTCGTATACCTTGGATATGACTGCATTAATTTCAGTTTTTCTGTTACAGGAGGAATCTTGAGAGGTTCTAGAAGGGATAGATTGTTAAGTAAGTTTGTGGAGAACGAGTGCGAAAAAATTGACAGGCTTATGGAACTCTACATGAGGTGATTGCTCATGCAATATATATATCTAGTACCCTGCTCTATTTCCTTCTGCTGTGCAAGAAAACAGTGGTTCTCTTGAGGCTGATAGTTCTATTTCATTACTTTGTGCTGGTTTTCAATTTTTTTTGTCCTTGGAGCTGTTGCAGATATTCCAATAGAGTGAAACTTGAGGCTGAACGGTTTGACCAGCTAGAACTTGATGATTTGGTGGTTCATTTACTTCTTAGTCTTTGCTCATCATTATGTCTTTCTCTAAAGCATTTTATTTATATTGCCATTATGGTTATCATGTTTGTAGATGGATGAAGATGAGAAGTACAATAGGAAGTTAGGAGCTGGACTTTACACTCTTCAGGTCAAAAAAATTGTGGCATCTTTATTTATGTACTTATCATCTCTTCTACGGGCACATTACCACCTCACATCTTTGGCATTCTTATCGTCCTTCCTTTTTCTCCCTGATCCTGCAGTTGATAGCTGTTATCCTGGGTCATCTTTGGACCTCTGAGTAAGTTTTGGCACCTGACATACTATTTCTCTTCTGATGTTGGAATATATCTAAGTTCCTCCGCTTGATTGTTCTTTTTAATGCAGGCATCCTCGTATCAGAGCAAGGATTGAACTTTTGCTAAAGCAACAAAAGCTGACTAAGCAAGACGTAAAAGATATACTTCAGGTGTCTGCTCATCGTGTCCTTTTTTCCTGTGTCATTCCCTCCTTTTCATTTGCTTATGTTTGCTTTAAGGTAGTTATATTGTACCTTAGCAAATGTTCCTGGATTCTTCTGCTTATCCAAAAAAAAAAGTGAAAATTCTTGGATACATCTGGAGACAAGGTTAACTCGCGAGAGCTATACCTTAGGACTTATAGCCCATTAGTGCAAACTCCAATTTTAGCACCAGGTTATTCGGAGTGCATTGATCTTTCGATCTCTCACTCTGGATTTTGTTCAACAAGTGACCATTGTTTCTTTCATGCTTGGATTATTGGACTATAACTTTGGTGTTGTGGTGTGGTAACTTATGAAGATAGATATGGAAGGAAGAACTCCTTAATGACTTTCCTTGTCCATCTTCATGAATAGTCTGTTAATTCCTTAATGAAATTCATGCAGATTTTTATGTGAAAGCTGTTTTCCTTCCTATTATGTAGTTCACTTTTTTATCGTCAGGCCTAGTCTTTCCCTTATTCTGAAGATACTCTAAAGTCTGATCTGATATTGAAGTTTATACTTGCGATGTAGGAATATCATGACAACATAGGAGATCTGGAAGGGCCAGAAGAGAAGGAGAGGGCACAATCCAAGATTCAAAGGTTCATCTCGGCCTTTTGACCCATGATGTGGTTCAACAGTCAGAGCACAAGTTTTATCCTTAGAATGCTGTGTGAACTCTGGCTACTTGAAATGTGCGTTGAGATTTTATATGCTCAGTTGTCTACAGTTGGTCACTTCACTGTATTCGTTCATGTAATGTGTAAGAGCTGTCATCAGTTATTGAAGGTTAACATTTTTGGCCGAATTTGTTTGTATTGAATGCAAGTGTAATTTGCAAGACTTCAATTAGTCGTTTTACCCAGTGTAAGTGCAGTGCTTTGTGGAGCTTGTCCCTATGCTGTTGTGAGCTTTCACCGTCCCAAAATTGTCACTGCCGATTGCCGATGGATAAGCTACTTTATTTGCATAACAATCAAAAAGCAGGTTTTCTAAAGAAAATGTCGTCAGTTTTCCAGAAACTGTTTGTTGGACGAGGTGAAGGAGCTTTTGCTGAGTGGTGAAGAGATATTACAGAATGCTCATTTACGTCATCAAAAAAGAATACGCTCATATATCGGATACGGACCAATAGCCTTGCTCGGCCTTCCGCAGCAGTCATCACAGAGTTGACTTCCCGAGATATATGAGTTGTTGCCTCCAATCCAACAACATCAAGAAGAAAACTGCAATCATTAAGAAGATGTGAGTATCGATATTGTTCATCCTTAAATAAATTACATAATACATGTGAATCTGATTCCACTATAATTGAAAAGAGATTTTTTGTGAAGGAGAGTTCCAGTCCTGCTAGTAGTGCAAGCAGCTCAGTCGCCTTCTGTGCAAAACCCATAAGCCATTGTGGTCTCTGATGAGTCCCTCAGTACCACTGGCTTGGTTATTTAGATCATGAGCCCCAACAATGTTTAGCTTGTAATGACTGTAGGAGGTGGTAGCCACCTTATTGGTATTTGTAGCCTGGGGTTTGATGTTGATGTAGTCGGGGTGAGTAATATGAATTCTGCAACTTGTATCATGAATTTTTTGTGGCATGTAGTGGTTGAAGTATGGTTGAAGAGATTTGAGTTCCGGTTAATCCAAATGTTCGAGAGGATGAAAGGCAGTAGGGTGGAGTATGGAGTTTTAAAGGAGGCATTTGTTGTGTGGATGGTAGTGTCTTTGTTGCACCTATCCTTCAACCACTTGGCAAGGTTGTGTGCTTGAGATATGTGTAGATTGAACAAAGGCCATAAATGGCAGGAGCGTTTGCATGTAAAGAAGATGTGGTTTATGTCCTCCACTATGGTTGGACAGAATTGACAAAAATTGGGTTGAAGTCTCTAGTAGGGAGTTTGTGGTGTATAAGTAGTCACAGGAAAAACTTCAGTTTATTCAGACACTTGAGATGCCAAAGCTTAGAGTGATTTGCAGGGGTGGGTGGTGAAAGTTGGTTGGTGATCTGTAGTTGGAGCAAATAGGCTGACTTTGAAGTAAAGTTGCCAAGAGATGTTTGGTTCCAGAATGATTGGTCAGGTTTGTTTGTTGAGAATGAGATGTAAATGTGGTTGATTTGTGCTACTGTATCAGGATGTAAAGATAAGGATAACCTATCCAGAAGCCACGAATGGTTAGATAGAATTGATGATACTGTTAATTGTTCCTCCTTGTGGGGTAGGAGGACCTGGATTGTTTTGCACAGACAGTTATGGTTTGGAAGCCAGTTGTCATTCCAGAGGTTGATTTTTGTACCATCTCCTATGTTCCAGGACAATCCTGCTTGGAAGAGGCCATTGGCTTTGGTCATACTTTTCCATACATATGAATCAGATGGCTTAGCCTGATATGTTTCTGCTGAACATATTTTGCTTGAAGAATTTTAACCCACAAGGAGTTGGCACTCCTATGAAATTGCCATAGTAACCCTGCTAGCATTGCATGATTTTTCTCAGTTGTATTATAAAGTCCCAGTCCCCCAAGTGATTTTGGTGTGATTATAGTCTCCCAGTTAGCAAGATGTACTTTTCTTTTTTCCCGGAGTTGATCCCCAGATGGAATTTCATTGGATACGGTCTATGTGATTCTCGGTGGAGGTTGACCTTTGTTTGGAGCCTACATAAAGGAAAAAAGGATCAAATTTCCCCTTTCTTTTTTTGGAGTCACTGCGAGTTTCTCATATATTAATTCTGTCGAGGGAAAAAACATAACCAAACAAAAGCTAATAGATATAAAAATCTTCACTTCACGCACAAACCCTATAATTAGGCACTGGCAATAGTTTATTAAAAATGTACAAAGTCCTACATCAGCTGTATAAATATCTCCAGGAGATCTATAATGTTCTAATTTGCTCCACCAATTAGGCACCAAGATTTTTGGGTTGAATCTCATGTGCTTTGTTTCTTTTAAATTACTTTGCTTCAAGAAAAGGATTTGACAAGTCAAACTACAAGAAGCTCGAGCTACGTAGGCTAAAAACAAAAACAAACGAGTTCAAATGGTGAGATCTTTGAGAAATGACATAAATGCAAACCAAGGGATGTGGTTAGCTCCATTGATGGGATAGCTGCAAACTGAAAGTAGACAACATAATACTCTAGCCCCTCGAAAAGATTTCCCGTATCAACTTCTTCCACATTCAATAACTGCATGAAACTAATCCTATCAATGCACATTAAGAGAACTTTTTCCCATTCTATACTGAGTCAAACCAATCCTATCTATGCACATTAAAAGAAGTGTCTCAAAAAGTTGTATCATTTCCACATCTCTACAAAAAAATGCCCTACCAATCTTGTATATATATCATGTATGCACACTTCAGTAACTTCAAGCCATCAGATGCTCTAACCTCAAGATTATTACCTGCATAGAAAGGTCACCAAACGACTACTTCAGCTTTTAGGCAATTAAAAGATCAATTTGGAGCTGGCGCATGCCTTTGGTAGTCAAACACCAGGATCAGGTTTGTGAAGTTTAAATGAACTTCCTTAACAACTACATTCTTAAGCTTTTCTTACGTTATCACACAGCAGTTTAGTTTGTTCCAGAATCAAAAGATTTACTATGTTTCATCCTATAACAAACTGTATGTACACTGACATAGATTTGGGCTCAGAAGGGATTTGGGGTAACGTTAAACACACGCTCTAACATATGCAAACACGCGCACTCTTCAAGATAAACCTACCTGATGATGAAGAACTTCCAACGGATGGCTATAACTCATCTTTCAAATGAAGAGCATCAAACTGCTTGCACAATATAAGCAAAGGATCGAGGTTTGGTATCTCTGTCAGTGGCCGAATATCCCAAACCCGCATGACATCTACATAGCTTGAGGTCTCCATAACGGTCTCAAGAGTCAGAACAATATGAAGGAGCCCATCAATAGGACAGAGCTCCAAGAGTTGAGTAGACATCCCATTTAAGACAGTGATATGTTCAGTGCGAGGCCATTGCCAATCACTAGAAAGCTTCATCAATATGGAAATTGCTTTCTTACGGACTTCTATGCTTTTAATTTTCTCCATTGCTTTCCAAAAGTTATCATCAACACTTACCTGTAAATGAAATAGATGAAGCCTCAATTAGTCCTGCAACACAACAGGGAGCCAACTCCACCAATGGAGGAAGATCAACAATGGGTGAACTACTGACAGATCAAACTACTCCAACAAATATTTTACTCACTCTCCCTATTTGTCTTTACACCTGTTTCCTCAAAAAGGAAACATCTTGTTTCCAAGAATTCAACATTTACATAAACACTACCTAATAAAAATAAAAATTAACTAGTTCCCATTCCAAAATAATAATAATAATAGTAATAATAGTAGTAATAATGGTAATTAAAGAATCTATGAACGAATGGTACAACAATGGAACATATACACTGACTTCCAATGGAGAATATTCAGCCACGAGAAGCTATAATAGTAAGATAGGAGCACAACAGAGACTAAGAGAGGCAGACCTAATATGGAGCTCTATAATGTTACCGAGACACAGGTTCATTGTTTGGCTAGCACACAAGGAATAACTGCTTACAAAAGAAAGGCTGCATAGATTGCAAATACCAACTGAGAATGATCAATTATTCTATGTGAAGACTCACAGAGAGAAAATCAAGCTCGCTTATTTTCTGAATGTAAGTGGATATCAAAGGTACAAGAGGGAATAGAACAGTGGTCAGGGATCAAACTGCAGAGACAGAACATACAGGAGACTTTGAAATGGGTTAAAGGAAGGCATTGGAAGCAATTCAAGGAGATTGTCACAGCTATATGGGCTGCAATAGTATATAACATATGGAGAGCAAGGAACTGGAAGAAATTCAAATAAATACATGTACATACTGATGAGTGGTGACACAAATACAGAAGGAAGTGAGGGAAAGGATAGATCTTTATAAATGTACAAAGAAAGGCTATAGTGGTAGGCCCTTGATTACACAGATATGTAGTTAGGTTGTTTCTTACGGTAGTGTTTAGATATCAGGGTTTTTTTTTCTGGGTTGTAGGATGCTTAGTAGTTAAGAAGGATGGCTAAAAATTCTGAGTGCTCTATAGATGTAATGTTTTCATTCGTCAATGGTAAAATTTTACAGTTTATTACCCAAAAAAAAGGTAATTAAATTTTTACGTGACAGTTCTTGAAGAATCTACGTCGCTTTTCCACAACATTTTAACCATAAATTAAACACATTTGACAACAAACCTTAGCATAATCCCCCCCACCCTTTTTGGCTCAGTCTTCGGGTTAATCAAATGGAATCTTCAAAATTAGGATGGAAGGAGCACTAACAATTCCCTAAAACCTATGAGTCTATAACAAGCAAAAAGAAATTATAACTTACTTGTTGTAATTACTCAATTAATCTTGTTCATATAGAGAAAGGCATTGCTTTCCCTGGTCTTTATCTATTGCCTAAGCTCTAGCCCCCATCGATTGACACATATTTTAAAATAAATTAGAAAAAATAAAAAGCGTATTATCTCCATTTCAATTTATAAATGCACTCTTCATTGGTATGCCCTAAAATGTCAGACACTATTCCAATGATAATTTATTTTATATATTTTACCCAGTTTTAAGAATGTAATATCAAGTCTAAAATTAGATATGATATTTTCACTACTAAACTAATCTTTGTTTAGATCCTTTGTCTATCAAACTTTCAAATATTAATTAATATTTCCTTCAACTATTATTTATGCTGTTCAATAACATCTTGAATTTTGTGTCCCATGGGATTGGTGTCCAGCCTAGTAGTTGTACTTCGCTCAACATTACTTAGGTGTAAGGTTCTAATTCTATTAAAGGCTTACTCACGCCCTGTGACAAAATCTGTATAAGGGAAATCAACCTCTCTACCTTCACAATGGTAGGGGAAAGGTCTGGGTACACACTACCCTTCCCAGAGTCCACTTATGAGATTACACTGGGTTTGTTGTTGTTGGAGAATAGGAAAGTGGCACTGATAGGACAACAGTTTAGATAATAATGAGTAAAAAGACATTTTTCTAATGAAAATAATATAAGTAGAAGTGCAGTGCCAGTTGATTTAGGAGAATTTCTGCTTTAGAAACTCAAGTCAATGAGCATACCTTCCACCTTGTTCCTTGAAAAAGTACTGAATAAAGGCGTATTTTAATGTCAAGGAGGTCAATATCTATCAAGGCAGCTGCCATAGCTTTCACCAAGTCCTTGTCATTATGAGCATCATGGAAGCAGCCCCTAACCCGAGCATCATGTACAAGTTTCTTCCAAACAGAACCACTGCTTTTTAGTGTCGCCTCATTGCCAAATATCCAGAGGCAATGCCTGCAAAAAGCAAGCTTTCTTACAGAACCATGGACAATCCCCCCGAGATAATAAATTCAAAGTATCTTGAGTTACAGCAATACCTTGCTCTAGTTAGTGCTACATTAACCCTTTGACTATTAGAAAGGAAGCCAATTGATCTGTTCGCATTGGAGCGTACTGCGGAGATTATTATTAAATCCTTCTCACCTCCTTGAAAACCATCAACAGATCGGACATCCACCAAGAAGTCACTCTCATCATCAGTACTATATTTAGTTCCTAGGTTCTCTTTGATTGCAGCAATTTGAGCATTGTATGGTGATATAATACCAATACTAATCTTTTCTCCCGAGGCAATGAATCCTGTAACAGGAAAAAAATCAGGAAACCAATAATTTTGGAATTGATCTATTGTGCATCTTCACTTGATAATGCCATTAAATCAAACTTACTGTACCTTCGAAGAGGTTGGCAACTACCTCACAAACTACAGCTACCTCTACCATGTTCCGGATGCTATGCCCATCAACAACTTCTTCATTTCCACATGCTACATTGATAAAAGAATAAGCACCATAATTTTCACCTTCAAGGTATTGCTTCTGATATCCTGCACTTCTGACATTTGGAGCATCTACAATCTGATTCTGGTAGAATTCTCTATTGGGAAATGAACTAATTGACGGCTGCATCCTATACTGAAGATTAAGAAGGTGTTTCTTGAATCGCAGAAGTGCCAACCTCTCAAACAAGCTCCGCCCAAACTTGGCCTCCTCGCAAACCTAATTAGAAAACGACATCTTACTTTCTTTCTGTGCAGTAATTTTATAATTAGGTACCATTTAAAGTAGCACATGACAACCTTGCTTTTAACCATGGCAGGCAGTTGCCACTCGTCCCCTATGAGTATGGCATGACGGAGACCAGGAATCTGTAAAGGGATAGTTGACTCACATTCTTTAAGCTGAGCAGCTTCATCAATAACCAGCAATTCAGCATCTGCCTCATGCAATTTGAAGGAGCTTGAAGCAGTACAGAAAATCAGGCATGCATTTTTTAAAATTTGATTTTTTATTGAGAACTCATCTTCAGCTTCAAAAAATCTGTTAGGAAGGGATTTGAGTATCTTAAGGCACTCTTGTTTGGCCAATTCTACATCAGAAGAGCCGCCAGTCACTTGTCCCTCTACTTCTTTGTTTCTAACAAAGACTTCTTTCAAGCTTCTACCCTTAAAGGTAATACTTTGCAATAAACTACTAAGTGAATTAAGTAAGTTTACAGCTTTGATCATGTCTTTTGCCACCACCATAGACAGGAATGAAGTTGGCAAGTGCATGACAAAGTTAACAACATAGAAAGTAAAAGCCTCCAGTTTGCAATTTAATCTGGTAGTCACAAAGTCCTCAAAATTTAACCTTTCTTTAGTTTGATGAAAATCATTACGACACTTTCTACGAACAGATTTTGAATGTTTCTTGTTCCGACAAAACCCTTGGTCAAGTTGACTTTCATCATTCAATTTTATTGTTTTGGAAATGACTTGCCAAAGTCTCTTGTTCCACTCGTCCTTGAAGTCTTCAGCACATAACCTCGGTGTTTTGTCCTCTTTTTTCAGGCTTTCTTTATCATAATTAGCATTATTATAATATTGCTGAAAAAGTTCGGCATCAGCATCTTCTTCTTGACCATTTATGGAATAAAACTGGTACAACATTTCAGTGTCTTCAAGTAGTGTTATCAAATACTGCAATGAGTAATTCCAGCCAGAGGCAGGAGTAAAGCACCTTGCTAGAACTTTAGCACGATGATCAAGAAAAATATGAAGCAGCGCATCTTGGTTATCGATATTCATTCGTTTTCTGTTTCCAAACAAAATTATATCCCCTAGACCGTAAGTCAAAAATTCAGATGACTCCAGCACAAGCCTCAAAACTCGTCTAGAAACTTCTAGAACTGCAACATTAGTTGGAGCACAAGTTACTGTTCTGCAATTGAGGCTCAAAAGTAGAAACAACAATGCACTAACTGTCTTCGTTTTCCCTGTTCCAGGAGGACCCCAGATTAGTTTAGTCGTGTTCTCGTGATGGCAATATTGTGTCGCGAGACAGTTCAACACTGCTTCTTGCTGGGAATCATTAAGCTTGATTGACCGATTTGTTGCAAGGATCTTTGATCTGCATAATCTATACACTTCCCCTAGCAAACAGAGATTACATTTTTCCTTACCCTGCAAAAGCAATAGAAGAAGACAAAAATTTCATGTTATGTACAGAATGAAAAAGTAACAGTTTGAAGAATTTGGTTGATAAAAGGTCATCTAATAGTGACGTGAAAATTCATAAGTAAATGTGAAGATGTATCATTCAGGTAAGACTGTTTGAGCACAATAACAAGTGAGAAAAGTATGAAGCTTACAGTCACAGAAAATCCAGGTTCCAGTAATTTCCGAATGACTTCACAGTTTTGCCTTTCCAGCCCGAAGCTCAATGAATTCCAAATGCGTGTATTTGTTGTCGTATTTATAAGAGAAACCAAGAACAAAGAGTCCTTTATGTGACTTTTCAGAGTGCCCTGTTCAACCAAGAAGGGCCTCGATGAAAAGATCTTGATCTTGATATAATCTTTCCCATCTGTCACTCGTTGAACCAGAGCAAGTAAATAGGATATTGTCGGTCTGTTTAGATCATCGACACACGTTGGTCTTACATCTGTAATGGCAAGTAGATCCCCCGTCTCAGGTTCATATGCTCTGCCATCACTACTAATCTCTTTCTTTTCCACCTCAATAATGTATAAGCATTTATCAGATGGCTTATTGCTCTCCGCTTCCTCAATAGAAAATATTTTGCATGTCGATGCACTTGCCACTTTATCAAAGCTAGAAGACAAATCAGCATGTGTTTCCTCTATAAGAGGGAAGACGAATGACTTCATATACAAAGTGATGGACTGAAATGTCAAAGGGATGCTTTTCACCTAAAGGATAACTCAAGATCATAAGACTAAAATATACTTAAGATAGAGAACCACAATACATATGCTCAAACATCACGGAAGCTAATGCACTTTTTTCTTTTGTCTTGACATAGGTATATAAAATAATCATCTTCAACATCTGATGTGCAACATTAACAACATCAGTTATACTAGCAATGCTGCCCAAATTACGTATTGAGAGACAGATTTTTATTACAAGAAATGCAGCCCATTGTCCAAATTCATGACTAAGACTAACAAGTACTATAAGCAATATAATCCACATTTCATATGCCTTTTCCCATAGCTTCTATATGCACAACTCATATTGTGAAAAAAATAAAAAAAAGAACAAGTCACATGTGAAAATGAGACACCCATTCAGTCTAACAAACAACAAAATTACAACAAGTATCATGTTTTACTAACCAAGTTTACAAAATAGGGAAATGATTTTAATTTAAAATCAGGGGTGGATGCCATATGATAGCAGCAGCTGAACATCCACTACATACATGAACACATTCATTACATACATACATGATACATAAATACATAAATATGCTAAGGTACTCTGCACCTACTCACTTAAAATTTGGATACTATTAAGGTTAAGAGTAAAAACCCCGGTCACAAATGCCACAAAATAAAACAACCAAGGGATAAAAGCAAGAATTACAAGAACTAACCGCTGACATTACACTGTAAAAGACAAAGGGGAAAATAGCAGTAAAAACAAACCTTGTCTTTATAAAGGTCTTTGTTAAGGACATCCTTAAAAGACCAAGAAAAGATAACATGTATAAGGCTCTTTTCACGAAGAATGGCTTCACCCTCATCATCAACCTCCATTTCTGTCATATTCTGCAAAACCCCATTTCATGATCACAACATTTGAAAGAAAAATAGCAACATTCTAAACATATTGTAACCATTTTTATCTGAATATATGAAGCAAACTAGCAATGTCCTAAAATAGATAAATACAGAGAGAGTGAGAGATGAAGTAGTTAACTCATAACTGTAAAGTTGGAACGATAACTGCTGCGTCCAAATAGGGCTTAGCAATAGCAGTGATTCTTGGAAGAAAGGAACGCGCTTTGTTGGGAAGCAAGACAAAGGCCACGGGACAAATATATAAAGCGTTTTGGCCTTTTTTGGTAAAGTGCAAACTAGTCCTTAACTTTTACCACAATTGCGATTTTGTCGTCAAACTAATGCCTGCCCTTGTTAGCTTAATTGAAATATTATCATCCTTCTATTATTAGGATTCGTTTTGTTTGGGATAAAGTTATACTATGATTATAATGCTGAAACTATAATACTAAAATAGATAATCCTTGGTTTATTTAGTTCTAGTGATCTCTTTGGTTCATTGAATTAATATTTGAAAATACAATGTATAATTTAAACTTTTATGCCGGAATTAATATTTCAATCCCTATAACCAAAGGATCCTTAAAAAATTAAATTACCTCTTTGTTCCATGCTTAGAAATTATTCAAAAAGTTATTTATCGAGTCTTTTTCTTTAATTTATTTTTCTATCGTAATATGTTTCGGGTTCAATTTGAAGAAATCTTAATTTTCTTATATTTTAGAAACTATCTCAAAATTTCATCCAACTCGATCAAAATTAGTGTACCAATGTGTGGGAGACTACTTCTTCTTCTATTGGATTGGCTTCATATATGTGTATCTCTCACACTTCCGAATTTACATTAGTATAGCCGCATACTCCTTCGTTTACTTCTCTTCATATATGAAACAAAAAAACTGGAAAATATGGAATCCTTCTTGTTTCACTAATAAGAGCTCAATTGGGAGCTGTCTGCATTTGCTTTGTAGAATCCGATGGCATTGTCCCCTTCTTTTTGTTATCCACTGTGTGGTACTGTAATAGTAGTAGTAGTCATTTGCTTATAAATTGTAACAGGAAACATGATCATGATTTTTCTTACAAGAAAAACGGGAAGATATCAGAGTAGGGGATTAAGATAACCAAATTCTCATATACATTTAAATTAAGGGGGATGCAAGTAAGGTTAAGTTGATGCATCTGCTCCCACGGTACTGCGGTCGACTTAATATATATATATATATATATAAACTAGTCTCTATGTACGTGCTTCACACGTAACTCTTTAGAATTCATAAAAAAAAAAAAGTACTGTTAGATTGGAGTAGATATTAGAATTGTATAACAATAAACGCGCCTAATAGTGAATGTAAGAAAAGATTTCAGTATTGTGACGAAGGGGTTCAAATATTTTACATTATCGCAAAAGTTTGACATTCTAGTGCCTTTTGGAATCTCCTTGTATAAAATCTTGGCTCCGGCACTTGTTACAAAGAAATTGCTACTTAATATAAATAAAGAAAGGAAGATTATAACTTAATTAGTTTTACATAGTTTAATATATACATGCAGACATAGAATACATATACCGATAGCATAAAAGTTTATAGAAGGCAATATATGCGTGAGAACATTTTAAATCAAAGCAACCATACTTTCACTTTGATTGTGATCAACCCAAAACTCCAGTTTGGTAAATGATTTTTATCTTGAAATATTATCAAAGAGATGAACTTCCATTCCTCATTCGTAGCTTCCCATAAAAAATTGAACGAATTATGAAATAAAAATCAATTATCGTCTAGTGTAGCGTTTTATGGTCGGTAAAAACCGACCACGGTCGACCAACCGATTTTGGTTGGTTTTTTAATCAGCCAAATTTTTTTTCAAAATATTTAATTTTTTAATTTTTTTTTACGAAACCGACCAATTTTGGTTGGTTTTCTTTGGCGCAAAAATGCGAGAAACTACTTTTGAGTCCCGCGAAATTTATTTTTCAAGAAACCGACCAACTTTGGTCGTTTTTTTATTTAAAATAAATTAAAATTAATATTAAAAAACTGACCAAAATCGGTCGGTTAATTCGGCCGATCATTTTAAAAAATCGACCGAATTCGGTCGGTAATTTTATTTTTTAATAAAACTGACCGACATCGATTATTTTCGTGCAAAAATACAATTAAAGAGTATAAATGAAATAAAAGACAGTCTTAAAATAAAATGCACCAATGGTCTAGTGGTAGAATAGTATTCTTCCACAGTACAAGCCCCGGTTCGATTCTTAGATGGTGCATTTTTTAATTACATAATTAAAATACCGACCAACTTCGGTCGTTTTTTTCGGCAATTATTTTTTTGAATTTAATTGACCGACCAAAATCGGTCGGAAAATACCGACCAAAGTCGGTCGATTAGCTCTACCGACGTTACGATTACCGACCGCCACGAATCGGTCGATTTTCGGTCGAATTTTGCTAAATACCGACCAACATCGGTCGGTTTTGGCGGTCGGTTTTCCTTGTTTTTTTAATAGTAATTAGATGACAATGTGATACGTACATTCTCACCTAAAAGGAACGGCAAGATACCAGTATAGTCTGAGATAATATTGACGTGATTACGTGAAAATTAAGTATCCACGCCTTCCTTCAACAATGTTCTACCAGTTTCTTTACCCTTTTGGTAAATTATTTTAGTTTAGGATGATATATGGACATACAAATTACAAAGTTAGCTTGCACATCGATCATCGTCTCAAATTTCAGACTTAAGTACAGCTAAAATTTACTTGCTTGTTTGGAAACTCTCATATTTATCGGGAGCAAACTTAATGAAACTTTTTAGTTCTATTATAGTAAAAATTAAAATATCCTAATTTTCTGGATTTAGCTGACCTTAATGTGGAATTAAATTTGCTCAGTGAATCCCTTGGTAAATTTGTACAACTTTCACACATCAAACATGTAAAGAAATATTAAAATAACCCATAAAAAACTAAGACATAAGTGATGATCCCCATGATGGGAAGACCTGTAAATCTGTCTTCAAAATTAATTTGTTGAGCAATATCATGTCTTTGTTAGCATTGATCGTCATCGATCTCCAAGATCCATATACAATCAGTGCACCTAGAGAGCATATAAAATATTTATTAGTTCCTTACAAAAACAAATATCCAAATTAAACATCAAATAAGAACATATCTAAGACAAAGAAAACTACCGTTCTTTACGTTCTTCTATTCTTTTTATATAAAAAAAGTCCTATTATGAACCAAAATAATATATTTTTGGCTCTTTAGTAGCAGACCCAGTGGCGTACGCAAAAATTTTCGTAAGCGGTGTCACTATTAAAAAGCTAAATAGATGAACAAATTACCAAAATGACATCACATTAAAAGGTCTTTTCATAAAATTATAGAATTCAACTCATAAAGAAAACAACAAATATATTAAAAAAATCAATGAAAAATATAAACGAAAAAATAACAAGGCAACTTATAACGGTTGATGACCCACAGAAGTTGGCGTAGATGGTGAGAGAGATGACCAACAGTTTTTCAATAATATAATTTTACCTTCATTTATATACTTAATATGATTGGAAGCGTCAAAATGTTTAGTAACAATTGATTTCTTGAGAGTATTAAAAAGTAAGGTTTTATTTAGAAACTTACACATAAACATATACGTGTCTAGGTTCGATCCCTTGACATTTACAGTAAAAATGCAGTGCTTGGCCAACGAGCCACTAAATACTTAACGTTATGTGGTGTCACTTTAAAGAAAATACAAGTGAAATTTTATTTTTTCATATACGTATATTCTGTAAAATTTTCCGGCAAATCGGTATCACGTGACACCGTTTGGCATAACCTAAATCCGCCCCTGAGCAGACCCGTTATGGATCATTGATCACAATCCTTGTAGATGAACAAGACGACAATTATAATATCTTTATGTGCCAGTAGGACTCCTTGTTGAACTATATCTTAGTTACAATCGAAGTCCTAATATTAGGCAAAAGTAAATGTGATATATATGTGGACCTTAATGCCAGTAGTATTCATTGCGTGAAATATCCTAACGAAATCAAAGTCCTAATATTAGGCAAAGTCTATATGACGATTTATCATATATAAATTAGTTTCTTTGAAGAATATTATAACATTAGAAGGGTATAAAAGTCTATTAGTATTTCAAAGATATTTCTGTCATTCAACATTTATCGTTTTAATATTCGTGCTTTTATATTAAACTAGGCTCTATGTTTGTGCGATGCACAAAATATCTTGTGTCAAAAGTTATAAACTTCCGATCTTGCATCTAATCAAGCGGCTTCGCTCCATTACAACTTGCTCCAGTAGTTGTTAATATAAGTCTAATTTATCGACCTGTGTTTTTGTAAATTCAAAAGGCTGAAACTTGATTTGGTTTATTATCTATTATTTGGCTTAAATCTCTTTTAATGATAAGATTAAAAAAAAAAAAGGTAAAATATATGCTACAAGATACCCATTAGCATCATGTCTTATATTCCCATGAAATCAAAAAGCATTCCATCATGTCTTCTATTCCCATTGATCTCTTAGGTTGTGATACCAATTAATATAAAAAGTTCAAAATGATAATGTCCAAGAGAATTTGACAAATATCAGATTTGTAGGGTCGCGTATGTGTAGTTTAAAACGAAGAGGAATTTCAGACTTAGATTATTTACATATTTATCCTTAACTAAAAGTCGACTAATATTTCAGAAATATTTTTAGATAATAAAATTTTATCATACATAAACTACTTGAGAAAAAGTCAGTAACAAAGAAGAAAACAAGATCAATACTTCGTCTATTGTCATACCAATTAATATAATCCAAACTCAAGGTTAAAAGGAATAGTCCAAACCGATAAAGTCTCAAATGAACCCAAAATCAACTTTGTAGGGTCGGCATATGTGTAGTTTAAATCGAAAAGGAATTCTAGTCTTGGGTGATTTATAATTATATCTTTAAATTGTATAAATATTTAAGGTCATAAAAGTCGATTAATATTTTGAGGATATTTTAGTCGTTTTGGGCGATTTACAATTATATCCTTAAATTGTACAAATATTTAAGGTCATAAAAGTCGATTAATATTTTGAGAATATTTTAGTTGTTCAACATTTAACATAAATTATTCGTGCTTTTATAATAACTAGTTTCTATGAACGTGCGTTGCACGATAACAATTGCACGTTGATTTTCGATCGCTAAAATTTTGACATTCATACTTTTCACGTAAATTCTCAATTAATTTTTTATAGATATTAAGGAAAAAATTAATATCTAAATTAATATCTATACTTTTCACGTAAATGCAACAATTGATGTGAAAGAAAATGTAACAATCTTCAAATATTATTACACTTACATTATACTTGAATTTAAAATAATTCGACATCACGTCTGAACCTGTAAATGATATATGTATTAATAGTATAGACATAAAAAAAAATATAATTGTATCTTACCTTATACTTCTTTATATACGATATTTTTGTGTTTGTTCCCTTATGATACTTTGGCTGCTTGTTATGATTGGAACTCTTATTGTCGATATTGATATTCCTTTTGAAAATGCGACATATAATAGTCAATGTAATAAAATACGTTACATCAAATATAGTCCAACACTTGAAAATATTTGACTATGTGCTATTTTCGGACAAATTTAAGAGGATATCATTCATTTTTTGTGGTAAAAGTTGAATTTTATATAAGGTTCCCCATAAGTATTTCATCCCAAATAACTAATTCTGCTTCCTAGTATTTAGCACCACCACTCTATTATATTGTTGGCATCTTTTTTGTCCTTTTGATATAAAAAAGAGTTGTTACAAATAGTATTATAGAAAGAATAAAATGAACATAATCTGCTCATAATAGTCTATAAGTAATATTCCTACATAACATATAAAAAGATAATTTTCAGAACGTGTGCATGCGATATACATTGAAAGAACCAACGAACCTTTGAACAAAAGAGCAGAAGCTTGATAGTATTGCTAGAGAAATTGCCTATATTTGTAATCTTAGAGCTCCACATGGAGTTAGGAACATAGTACAACAACTTATGTTTTAGCAATAGCTTTCTGTTAGGGATGCTATTTGAGTAGCTGAGATGTACTTTGATAAAAGTTGTGATCGCTTAGCTATGATTATGTATTTCTTCATGGTGATTAATAAAATAAATTTAATTACCAAAAACAGATCAATTTTCTTTTTTTTTTTAATGCAAAAAGACTATTATAAGACAAAATTAGAGCAATACGAAAATAGAGCAATTGAATTTTTCTAAAATATTTTTTTTCATATTTTCTCATAAATAGTTCACAAAGTTTTAAATGACGTCCTAAAGCTGTACAATCAAAATTTTGATTTGTAAAATATATTTCTTACATCAAAATTTGGTTTTGAATCATTTGCAATGTATTATAACTGTTTGATTCTTTTGACTTTCTTTCACTCCAATATTAATTATATATATTATCATTCATTTGTTCACTTATATATAATAAGAAGATCGAAAGAAACACTAATCTCAATAAATGAACAATAATGTCAAAAATTGAATTAAAAGTAGTTATATTCCTGCGGTGTTTGATCTCAGTTTTCATAATTTAATTTTATTGAAGTAAAATATTATCATTTTAAATTTTAAAAATAAATAAACAAATAACGATTAAGCCAAGCGTATTAGGTTTTGTGCTTATTATGGTTAGATTATGAATTGAGTAAGAAATATAGCTTGGAGAAATTTTTTGTCTTATTTTATTTTGGTTTGAACGGGTTGATTTCTTAGAGTTCAAAGGCAATTGGTATTTGGTAGTAGAAATCAAATTCTGATTAGGACGGGTATAAAGGAGTCTTTTACCCAATTATGGAATTGTTTCTTTGAAGAAATTTTTTATATTTTAGAATAGCAACATAAAAAGGTTATTTAATCCTAACCCAAAATTATATTTATACCCATCATTAAATTGCTACAAAACAAAAATATTAACTTTAAAGGGCAAAAATATCGATCAATTTATCGGGATATTTTCGTCTCTCAATATTTAGCTTCCTAACATTCGTGCTTTTATAATAATATAGATATAGATATAAATAAGTTCATACTCTTATTAAAAATGAATAGTGTGTAACAATCTACATTTTCTAAATTTACACCTACCTGGCTACCTCTAGTAACATTTCCAACTTTTGTATTCTCACTAAAAAGGTTTAAGAATTGACAGTGGAGGAAGGTGCAGGCCTTAGTAGTATTAGTCAAACGTGGGAACACAAAGAGACAAAGTCAAAATCCAATTTGAGCAATCTTGGCTAACAAGCCAAACAATATTATACATTCATAAACCTTTTTTATTTTAATCCAGAGAGATCTGGAATAAGTCAATATAAACCAAAGCCCAAGAACCTCACCTCAACACAAAGCAAAGTATCATTCGCCAAAACTTCTCAAATTCTCTCTCAAAACCCAAATGGCCGGAGTTGAATTGCTCCCCAAAGAATATGGATACGTAATTCTTGTTCTTGTTTTCTACTGTTTCCTCAACTTCTGGATGTCATTTCAAGTCGGCAAAGCTCGCAAAAAGTACACAACTTTCACTCAATTTTGTCATTATTCTGCGTATTTCTTGATTTTTTCCGACCCCTTTTGTGATTTTGTCATTTGAAGCTAAAGATTTGTTTTTTACTTTTTTGTTAAAAATTATCCCAAACCTCTTGTGATTTTGTGTTTGGGAGCTAAATATAGTGATTAATTTTGGAAATACTTAAACAGGTACAAGGTTTCTTATCCAACAATGTATGCAATTGAAGCTGAAAATAAGAATGCTAAGCTCTTTAATTGTGTTCAGGTTTGCTCTCTATTTCTGTATTTAGAATATTCATCATATTAGTTGCTTTCTATTTAGATAAAAAAGCAACATTTGTTATGGTAACTAATATGAACACGTCTCAGGAAATGAAAATTCGTAGAGGACATTTTTAATACTAATGTATTTTAACTGTTGTTGTTAATAAATCTTTATTTTGTTGACTTATTTGTATATTTACTTCCTCACATTTTGAACCTGCTTGATAAAAATTTCGGGTGCGCCACTGTTTCTCATAGGGACACTTTGAGCGTCAGTTTTTGAAGCGCACATTTATCTGAAGCACATGGCTTCACTCATGAAGCGACGGCCCTCGCCTCACCTTGCTTCACCGCTTAAGCGACAAAGCGTTTATATGTAATTTACTATGTTAGTAATTTAGAGTGCTAAGTTATTATGTTTTAGCATATGTTGTAACTCAACATGCTCTTTTCTGTTCAGGAAGTATAACTTACATCGTCCTTTAATTCTTATGTCAATTCTCTCCCTGAAATTTCAGACATATTATTAACAAATAATCCTATTCCTCGAAACAAGGTAATTATTTATGTTTTGCATTGTGTTAGTAGCATTAATGAACATCAATAGTTTCAAGTTCATAATTTATTGTTGTTGTACAAGCAAAAAATAATGAGCAACATCACACCAAAACAAGAGAAAAAAACGATTCAGTGGTTGAAGTACAAATTATACCAAGAAGTCGTAGTTTGGGAAAAACCCCTGACATCCCTAAACTAGGACGAAATTACTCATCAACACAATAATGATAATGCACATACAATGGATGTAAAGAAACTCTTAGGCATCTATGCCAAAATTGAAGATGATGTGCTTCTCTTCTCAAGCCTTTTGAAGATCGAAGGTTTTAATTGGGACTGTGATACTAATAAGGTGCATTGCAACAATGAAATATGGCAGTCTAACCATCATGTAAGTTAGCTTTACAATAATTTAGGGTTAAGCTTTTACTCTACATTTTCCTAATTTGTTTTCTTTCACAGATCCATTGTGGTGCAAGAAAATTTCTAGGTCAGGCCCCCAAAATTATAACTCTTGGAAAGAGATTTTAGCTGATGAAATTGCCAAGGATAGCATGGGTCCTCCTTCGTTGGGACGAAATGGCGGCTCAACTTGTATGTGTTTTTTATGCATGGTCTCATGTTCAGTGTCAATGTCAAATGGTGGGATAATGCCGCCTGTTACTAGTGTTAGGACAGAGCGGAGAATGTTGAAGAAATGCTTTATTAAAAATCTTATGTGGCTTATGATCAAGCATAATGTGCCTGGGCCATATTACCCTAAGCTTTTGGATTATATTGGCGAAAATTCATAGATGTTAAAGTCATGGCCCAGCATCCCCGAAGACATTAAACTTGAGATTATACAACAAAAAACCCGCTCTCAGCACAACAAATGCTTGAAGATTCCGAGGCTCGCTGAGTATTCAGTATTTTAAGATCCATTATGTTGAGGTAAGTATTTTTGGATTAAGTTTGAACTCTTTCCTCACATCAACAAATGCGCAAGACACATGTATTGCTCTCTGCTGAGATTTTAATGGTTTCTAGAGCAGTTTTAGCATATTGTTGTTTTGGTGCTGTGTGTTTTTATGCAGATTTTAGTGTAGTTTTAACATGAGGGACGAGAATTTGATGTTTCACCTAGTGTTCATTCACATAAGAAACAAGTATATAGTAAGCGTTAGTCACTTTATTAATAGCGCATATTGAAATACTTCACATAATTGAGCTCCGAAAAGTAAACTAACAAATGCAAGATCATTATTGCTTATTTGATTTAGAAAAGGAAAAGAATGGCTCCAAAGAAGAAGATAGCGAAGCCATATCATAAAATTACATATTCCACCAATATCAGATGAAGAATTGACTTCCACTCGACATTGAGTTTCATGATATGGTGGAATATGTAATTTTATGATATGGCTTCGTTGTCTTCTTATTTGGAGCCATTCTTTTCCTTTTCTAAATCAAATAAGCAATAACGACCTTGCATTCGTTAGTTTACTTTTCAGAGCTCAATTATTTGAAGTATTTCAATATACGCTATGAATAAAGTGACAAACGCTTACTATATATACTTGTTTCTTATATAAATGAACACTAGGTGAAACATCAAATTCTCGTCCCTCATGTTAAAACTACACTAAAATCTGCATAAAAACACACAGCACCAAAACAACAATATACTAAAACTGCTCTAGAAACCATTAAAATCTCAGCAGAGAGCAATACATGCGGCTTGCACATTTGTTGATGTGAGGAAAGAGTTCAAACTTAATCCAAAAATACTTACCTCAACATAATGGATCTTAAAATACTGAATACTTAGAGAGTCTCGGAATCTTCAGGCATTTGTTGTGCTGATAGAGGGTTTTTGGTTGTATAATCTCAAGTTTAATGTTCGCCGACTTTAACATCTATAAATCTTCGCTTATATAATCCAACAGCTTAGGGTAATATGGCCCAGACACCTTATGCTTGATCATAAGCCACATAAGATTTTTAATAAATCCTTTCTTCAACATCCTCCGCTCCGTCGTAACAGGCGTCATTATCCCACCATTTGACACTGAACGTGAGACCATGCATAAAAAACACATACAAGTTGAGCCGCCATTTTGTTCCAACGGAGGACCCATGTTATCCTTGGCAATTTCATCAGCTAAAATCTCTTTCCAAGAGTTATAATTTTCGGGCCCTTTACCTAGAAATTTTCTTGCACCACAATGAACCTGTGAAAGACAACAAATTGGGAAAATGTAGGGTAAAAGCTTAACCCTAAAATATTGTAAAGGTAACTTACATGATGGTTGGACTGCCATATTTCATTGTTGCAATGCACCTTATTAGTATCGCCATCCCAATTAAAACCTTCGATCTTCGAAAGGCATGAGAAGAGAAGCACATCATCTTCAATTCTGGCATAGATGCCTAAGAGTTTCTTTACACCCAATGTATGTGCATTATCATTATTGTGTTGATGAGTAATTTCGTCCCAGTTTAGGGATGTCAGGGTTTTTTCCCAAACTACGACTTCTTGGTGTAGTTTGTCCTTCAACCACTGAATCTTTTTTTTCTCTTGTTTTGGTTTGATGTTGCTCATTCTTTTTCGCTTCTACAACAACAATACATTATGAATTTGAAACTATTGATGTTCATTAATGCAACTAACACAATGCAAAACATAAATAATTACCTTGTTTCGAGGAACATGATTATTTGTTAATAATATGTCAGAAATCTCAGGGAGAGAATTAACATAAGAATTAAAGGACAAGGTAAGTTATACTTCCTGAGTAGAAAAGAGCATGTTGAGTTACAACATATGCTAAAACATAATAACTTAGCACTCTAAATTACTAACATAGTAAATTACATATAAATGCTTTGTCGCTTAAGCGGTGAGGCGAGGGTCGTCGCTTCATGAGCGAAGCCATGTGCTTCAGATAAATGTGCGTTTAAAAAACTGACGCTCATAGTGTCCCTATGAGAAACAATGGCGGACCCGGGATTTTCATCAAGCGGGTTCAAATGTAAGGAAGTAAATATACAAAGAAGTCAACAAAATAAAGATTTATTAATAACAAAAGTTAAAATCCATTAGTATTAAAATTGTCCTCTACGAATTTTCATTTCCTGAGATGTATTCATATTAGTCTCATCAGATATTAATACGTCTCCCTTTTTTCTCATAAGTTAAAATACTCCCCCCGTTTCATACTGATATGCCCCACAAAGCTTTTACCCGTTAAACTTTTAAGACTACAAGTTTTAAAAGTCTCCCTCTTTNATATATATTTGGCGATGTTGTTAATTATAGTTTAGGAAATGATATGGATTTATTGGTGTGGTAATTGCAGAGGGGTCATCAGAATTCATTAGAAATGATGCCAATGTTTTTCATGCTAATGATTGTTGGAGGAATTAGGCACCCCTTGATTTGTGCATCACTTGGAGCTGTTTATATTGTATGTCGCTTTTTCTACTTCACTGGCTATTCTACTGGTGATCCCCAAAATCGTCTTACTATTGGGTTAGTCTCTCTTCCTTGAATGAATTCTTTTTCCAATTACAAATTATCATTTAGATTGATTTCACTTACAAATTTGAGTATCCGGAAATGTCAAAGTAAGAAAAGAACAATGCTTTGTGTTATGAACCTTTTGACCTGTGACCAGTGAAGCGAATCGTTCACTTTGCTCTTGCCTAATGCCCAACAACAACCACCATGCTTCAGTCCTGAATTGGGGCTAATGCCCAGCATAAGAAAATTAATTGAATTAATCATGTGCTTGTTATGATGGTGGTGATGGTTTGGGGTTTTGTTTTGGGTGGGTTTTTTTGGGGGGGGAGGTGGTGGCGGAAAATTTCAAGAAATGGTGTGTAATGGTTTGAATGCTAATTACTATGGTTTTACCATTGTGCAGGAAGTATAATTTCTTGGCAATAATGGGGCTGATGATATGCTCAATATCTTGTGGAGTTAATCTCCTTATGTCCTAAATAATAGTCTCACATCGGAGCTGTTCCTAGTAATTCCCTTTATATCCAGTAAAGGCTGTCTTTTGTGTATTTCCCTGTTGCATTTTGATGTTGCCGTTTGGTTTAGTTATCTTGTTTTCCTGGTTGCTGCCAGTTTCCAGCTCTTGTAATGTGATCTTGGTCTTTTAAGTTGGACCTTCTTGTGGAATTCTGTTAATAATATGAGTTAATTGGTACTTTCTGTATCAAGATATATCATCTGTGTACTGTTTCAGTGTTTGTGATTTTAGTTGCAGTGAATTTATGATGATTTGGCAGGAAAGTTTGCTAGTATATTTGACCTGATTGAAAGTTTAATGACTTCATGGTTGAAATTGTTTGATCTTAACTAGGTCTGGTTGCTGTCTAAGTAAATATGATGAAGTACAAAGGGTTGAGTCATGTGACCAGTTTATTTTGCTCTCTAAGTAAATATGATAAAGTGCCAAGTGTTGAGTCATGTGACCAATTTATTTGAAAGTACAAACAGAGAGAGAGAGCACATTCTGGTAGATATTTAGGTATGTAAATGCTCCTTGATGCATGGGCTTGAACCTTCTTTAGGCCCAGTATTTGTACATTCTCTGAGTTACCTGATAGCAAAACTTGAGTGGTTAAAGAATGAATACGGCATATGCTTGGTTCCAGAAATTCAAAACTGGAGAAGACCTACACAGTTAGCAGCATCCCTCCAAGTTCTGGTATTGCACCAACATTCAATGTCTAGCTATGGCGAAGCCAGGAATTTAGTAAGGATATTCATAATCGAATATATATTGTATAGAAAATAATATTTGACCTATGTAAATAGTATGATTTTCGCACACTTAGCTCCCCTACATATCCAGAAAACTAAAAATCATTAGGAAATATATCAAAGAGCTAAGCAAAGAGTGCCCGCTTGGTAAAAACTTAGGCTCATCGTATGTTTACATCCAACTAATGGATGCATGATATGCGTTTGCACATATGTTTCTTTTACTTAATCACGGTTAATTAATACATGAATTCTCACCTTATTAAATGATTTAACCATGGTAAGTTAGATATGGTTCATTCTCTACTTCAAATGTAGCATAGTCAAAAATCTTAAAAGCCAGTCAAAACCCAGAGCCTAATAGCGGAGCCTTATTTTCTTTCACAGCGTCCTAGGTCTTATCGTTGGCATTCAAGACCATCTTAGGTACAAAACTTAATTTCACTAGAACACAGTGTTTACATGTTAATTTTGATTATTATACGGTAAAAGCAGTTGTTAAAAAACATCAAACCAATGATTAACAAAAAGTTTGATAAAGAAACAATTTTGACTTATTAAGAACATCACATAACAAACTAAAATCAAGTTGTTGAATGTTATGAAATAACATACTAAAATTATGTCAAACATTGTAGTACTTCTCAAAATTGAAAATGTTAATGTATTGACATGGAAGAAGTGACGAAATTTGAACGATCTTCCAAAAGTTGCCTACTTTTGATGTATTTTACAATGTTCAATCATTTAAAAGCAAGCAACGAAACCAATTGCAAAAATGAAATACGACTGAAACCTGGAGAAATTATGCACCATCCGAACTTAGACTAAAATACTATAACCCTTACACCCATCTAAACATTAAACAAATTAATATCCCAGATACATGATTATCTTACTTTCTCCGGATCATTTGACACCAACTTATATTAGGTAGGTTCATTTTTTTGTTTCGTTATTAACCCATTAATCCCTAATTAAGTTGATTGTATCTGTATAATATAAGACATCACACAAAAAATCGTACAAGTACAACAGGAAAACAAAATTCATCACCAAAGCAAGGCATTTCAATTCCAGAAAACTAATGTGACCCACTGGTCAGACGACCGTTGAAGGATTCCCTAATCCAAAAAATGGATCAAGATTCCCATCATTCCCCAAACATACTTTCATAAAATAGCATTACAAAGCAGTAACTTTTGTTTTTATTCCTGAAACAACATAAACAATCACACGTTAGGTGACAATATTAATTATTTTATATTTTGAAAAATAATAATAAAGATACCTTTTAACGGCTCTATTGACAGACTGCCTCCCCCCACCCTACCCCGCAGCCCGCCGAAGTCAAAATTTGAAATGCCTCTTCTGCATCTATTTCTATTACCCCATAAAGTTCTCAATTATTAATTGAGTGGTTTTCTTGTACTCTGAACCCCTTTTCCCTTTTTCCATTTATCTTTTTCTCTTCCCCTGCCGTTACAAAACCTTTCAATCTTCATTGTTCCACTCACTGTAATTTTGAATTTTTCCATTCTTGGGGAGAAAAAAATGGGGAGTTGTTTGAGCAAGAAGAACACTTCTTGTTCTTCTTCTAAATCTACTTCTACCACTGTAGTTCCAAACATAAAGCAAGAAATCACCAAACCTAACACCCAAGTGGAGAACAAGAAAGAGGTAGAGGGAGAAAATGTGAAAAAAGAAATCTTTGTTATCAAACACAGAAAAAGCCATGAAGTGGATAGAAAGTCTGAAGAAGAAAAGGCTAGTGTTAAAAAGGTGGCTAATGAGGTAGTTGAATCTGCTAAAAATGGTAACAACAACAATGTTGGAGCAAGCAAAGAGAATGGGATTGTAGTGTCAGCTCCAGTGAGGACTTCAAGTTGTACTAAAGAAGAGGTGGATGCTATTTTGATACAATGTGGCAGGCTTAGCAGGAGTTCATCCACTGGAAAAACTGGACTTTTGGGTTCCAGTGGATCTGATAATAATGGGAATCCTCAAAGGAGTACAAAGTACTCTGGTTCAAAGAGGAGTTTTGATTTTGAGAATGAGAATGGAAATGAGGGGTTGCAAGAAAATGTAGTGGATTGTGAGGATGGTGGAGTTCGGCGCCATAGGCAACGCTCGCGCCAGCCTAGGACGCCTAGTTCTCCGTCTAAGGGAAGGAGGAGAACCCCGAGTAGAGAAAGAGACCAGACACAACAGCAGCAGCAGCGGTCGGGTAGTAGAGAAAGAGGCAGCAGCAGTGGAGGAGGTAGAAGGGTGAGTAGATCTCCTGGTAGAAGATCAGAATCACCAATTACTAAAACCTCAAATGGTGGAAATGTGGCTTCTGGTAATGCTAATGGGAATAATGCTAATGGAAATAATGGTGGTAGGCCAGGAAAGATGGTATCAGTGCCAGCTACTGTTACATCTATGGTGATGGATAAGAGCATAGATGTGGGTGCTGACAATATATCTGCTGCTGCTATTAAGAGGATTCAAGTGAAGAGAAATGTAGGTGCTGCTGATGGACCAAGAACTGCTGCTGCATCTCCGCGTGCTCGGTCACCAGCAAGAGTGAATGCAAAGGTATTGAGTGAGAGAGATAATAATCAACAGCAGCCCATGTCCCTTAGCCGCAGTAATTCAAGGAAACAAGAACAGTCTCCTTACAGAAGAAATCCTCTTACTGAGATTGATACCAATGTTGTATTGGAGGAAATGCCCGTCCCAGGACTGAAGCCTGTCAACAATAATGTCACTTCCCAGGTTGGCTCTTTTTATTAGTTTCTAGATATAATTACTTTCTTAAATCTTGTTTTAGTTAGCCTATTTATATACTGACAAATAGTTGCTTGTACCAGTCACCTTTGATGCTATGGTTTGTATTAGAAAAAAAACTGATTGTGTGTCTGACATGAGTTCTGTGTTTGTAGGTCTGTGTAAGGTTAAGTGTGAATTTTGAGAACATAAACTGATTTTAGTCTCAATATACCTGTGTAGGAATAAGTGTGAAATTTAAAGAATCCTAATAAAGATGAATAATATATCTGATATAGACCTCTATAAAACCGAATGAATACAGAGGATTCAGATAACCAAGTAACCAATCCTAATTAGTTTGGGATTAAGGGGTAGTTGATCAATTGAATTAATATCAATATTGGTGTGCTATCGCAGAAATTGAATACAGAAACTGTATGCAATGGGAAAGTCAAGGAGCAGCAGCAGAATGCAGGGAATGTTGCAATGAATGTGATTGTTTCAGGACCTGAAAGCCATAATAAACCCCAGAGAAGCAGGTCACTAAGGCTATCTAGAGACCTAGACATCAATCCTGAAACTCTCTCAAATCCACCTCAATCGTATACTTCACTATTGCTCGAGGACATCCAAAACTTCCATCAAAAGACCAATACCACCACCCCTGCATTTTCCCTACCACCTTGTGTAACAAAAGCTTGCTCAATTCTTGATGCAGTTGCTGACCTCAACTCAACCACTAGCTCCAATCTGTCCAGTGCTTTCTCCGATGACAGGAGAAGAAACCCTCCCACATGTGAGCAATTTAACCAGAATGATAACAAGAAGAGGTTAGCGATCAAGGATCCATTCATGGAATCTGAAGTTGCAGTGAGTGATGACTTAATGGAGCCAAGCATACAGAAGTATGTAACCTTCAGAAGAGGAACTGACATCGAAGATCAAGAATCTTCAGGAAGCAACAGCATTGTTGGCGGTCAGCAAAACTGGCTTTCCCCTTCCTCATGGGAACCTAATTCAGCTGATTCAACTGACTGTTGGCCTACTTCAAAATCCTACAGTAGAGATGATAACAAGAGCCCTCTAGGATTTCAAAGGCATGCGGTATCTGAGATTGGGCGTGACATGGAAGAAGGCAAAAGAAGAGTGAATGTGAAGAAGAAGAGGGATTCTTCTGACAACCAGCAAGCTGGAATAGGTCGTGGCAGAGTTGGACCTAGAAGCCTTCACACGATTTCTATGGCTGCTTCAACTTAAAAACATCGGACAATTTGTTAAGGTGTATGCAGTTTGTTTGAGGATTAGATTTTCTAGTTGTGGTTGCACACTTTGCAACCTTTTTTTCTTTGAACATTGTATGCTTTGCAACCTTTTGTTTCATTGATTTACTTGAAGCAGATGTTGTTCTTCATCCCTACAGCCTACTCTTAGGCCCTGTGTCACAGTTATTCTTTTAAGTTCTAAGATTGATTCCATGGTGCTAAAATTGGAGTTTCACTTCAATGCAGGGAGCAATAGCATATAATACCCGTGTAATGATAGGAGACACCATTTAAAACTTGACTGAGAGGATAGAATTCTTTACAAAAATTGAGGACTGCGTTTATCCTATTAAGTCCTTACTTCCCTACACTTGATATGTAGATTACAATTATGACATCTTTGGCTCATTCTTGACAATTTTTAAGCACACAGTTGGATTTGG